TTTAGTATCTGGAATACTTCACTCCATGCTCTTCTTGACTTTATTGTTTGTGATGAGAAGTCTGCTGTGATTCTGATAGGTTTTTCTTTATAAGTGATCTGTCTTTTCTCTCTGACAGCTTTTAATAATCTATTCTTGTGTTGGATTTCTAGGATGGTGATTATTATATGTCTGGGTATAGTTTTATTTTGGTTATGACTATTTGGAGTTCTATATGCTTCACTGATCCTGATGTCAGTTTCTGATCTCATGCTTGGGAAATTTTCAGCTATTACTTCTCTAAATATCCTCTTGATATCCTTTATGTTGTCTCCTTCTTTTTCATTAATCCCTATCATTCTTATGTTATTCTTCTTTGCATCATCTTGCAGTTGTTGAATTGTTGTTTCCTGATTCCTTGTTATTTTTAAAAGATCTTTCCTTTCCTGTTCACTAGCTGCAATCCTGTCTTCAAGGTCTGAAATTCTATCTTCACTTTCATTAAGGCGGTTTTTACAACTTTCAGTGGAAGAACTCCTTTCATAGTACGGTACAATGTGGAGTTTACTTTTTAGTAAATCATTGATTTAACGTCAGCCTCACATTAATCTTGTTGTTCTAAAGGGGATCTTTCTCAAATACTTTGTTTACTTGGACCTTACATTTCTCAAGATCAGAGGGAAAATTATTTTGAAGGATTCTTCTTTCCTGATTTTAAAGTGTTGTGATTTTTATCATTGTCTTAAGTTTGCTTGACCTTGAAGTGTCAGGCATGTTATGTTAAGATAAAGTTGTTTTCATGGGTGGCTGTGGTTTCTAGTGATTTTTGTTTTGATTCAAAATGTTAGCAGTGGGAAACAGTTGATGGGATTTGTTGAACTGCACCCCAGGAATGTTTACCCACATGTGTATTGGTAGTACTAATAGAACATTGTCATTACAGAGAGTGGCAGCTTGCTAAACGTGGAGTAAAAATGATTTTTTTTTATTGGCTGATATTGGGATTAAACCCAGTGGCACTGTTGCTGAATTTCATTGTCAACCTTTTCACTTAGCTAATTAATTGATTTAAAGGGGCAGACAGGATCTCACTAAGTGACCCAGGGTTCAAATTTGGGATCCCCCTGCTTCAGCTTCCTCAGCACTGGGATTACAGTTGTGTGCCACCACACCCATCTTAGATGATTGTCTTGATATAAAATTATTATTATCATCATTATTATTTTGAGACAGGGACTTGATTTGTAGTTCAGGCTGTGAATTCACTATGTAGCTCAGGTTGGTCACAGAAATACTGGGATTATAGGTATTCATCACCATGCCTAACTCTAGAATTATTTAAGAGCCATTCTAACGTATTATAGTAAAGTATTACAAACCATTCCCTGGGAAAAGTAAAGAATTTGTAAGTATTTCTTTTGTTAACAATATTCATAACAGGCTTTTTACATAGTTTTTATTCTGTCTACTGTAAATATAGACATTTATGGCCATGAGATAAACCTAAGTGAAAATCTGTATGCTTTTGTGCTGGCTACTTATCTGTTATGAGTAGACAATCTCCTTCTTTTCTAATGCCCAAGGTCATTTAAGACTGACTTTGACATCAAAGACTGCAGAGGGTGAGCAGTGTCAGGGGAGCAGTCGGCTTAGAGGCTTCGTGGAGCCAACACTGGAGCCTGCCCAGCTCACTGAGCTTGCCTCACTGCTGGACCTTGCTGATGTGCCTGTGCATAACACTGTGTATAAACAGATGGGCTCTTCTCCAAAGGCAGGATGCCCATTATGCTTCTTTCGATCGTTGTGAAAGATCTGTACCAGAAATTAAAATGTTTAACAGGAGATTGAAAGAACCTGCCTGAAACTTCTTGGTTATTGTTTTGTTTGTTTGTTGGAACCTATGTAGGTCAGGTTGACCCTGAACCCACTATGTAGCCCACGCTGGCCTCAAACTCACAGTGATCCTCCTGCCTCAGTCTTCTGAGTGCTGAGTTTATAGGGATACATCACTGCACCTGGAAATATTTACATTTTCAAACTCACTTATCTGTATTACTGTCTTTAGCAAGCAGTGTTAATATTCTCACTTAAATGAAAATACTGAATTTCTGATAAGATTCCTTGTGTGTTGGTGATAGTTTGATGACATTTGTAAAAGAGAGAAGATAAAGAAATGACATTATCTCTTCTACTTTTGCAGTTAGGTTTATTGTTTATTTGTTTATTTGTCTAGCCACTTGTTGAATCATTTGACTCATCTAGCCTGGGAACAAAGTCCCAAAAACAATACTGGTCCTAACATCTGGGCAGCCTCTTTTTGCAGACGGCTCAGCTCGGTACCTTCTCCTGTGTTTTGACTTTTGCTTGTGGTGTTGTGCAGGGCAAGTTGCTGGTCTTTTTTTCTGTTGTGCTTGCTTGAATGCTGTGTATATTGGTAAAAGAGTTGGAGAAAAGAGTAAAAAATAATAGCTATTATCCACTACCATTGTCCTTATGTGACAGAATATTACCTGCCCAGGACTCCAGAGAACTTCGATTGTTAGCCAGTTGATTATATATTATACATCTTTGATGTGTGAGGATTTTCTGTGGGGGGGGGGATGTCTTACTCTTCACCGTTTTCATCATTCTGGCACACAATGCTCCAGAAGGGAACAGTGTTGGTGATTATTTCCTCTGAGGCAGTTGCAGGACTAGGAGCAGAGGTGACAGCTGAGAGGTTTAGTGAAGCTATCAGGGTTGTAAAGAGATTGAATTAGCTGAGTTCGCAGGCTCAGACTAGCTCAGGATGGACCTTTGCTCAGCTGCATGGATATCAACGTGAAGCAAGTACCAGAGCTGGTTCCCTGAGCATCTGTTCATTTTGAAGTCTTGCTGATTCTTCCAAGTCAGACTCTCTGCTCTTCAGAGCTTTTTTGACACTTTTTGTCCCCATTTTCCTCCCCCAGCTTCATATTGAATTTAGTTAATTGTCCAAATATCTGCTTATTCTGCCACATATTTTATTAACAGCAGGAACCAATTCTCCTTCATTTTAGTGATCTTGTAATACATAATTTGTATCCCATGTGTAATCTAAATCTTACTGAGCTGGACAAAACAGGATGTGTCATTAGAGTGACTATAATTCACAATAATTTATTATATATTTTATTTTATCTTTCATGCTAGAGATTGAATTCAGGGGCTCTTGAATGTTAGTCACATGATATCCTTGACCCTAAATATTTTATAAAGAACTAGAAGAGAGAAGCTTTAAGCTTCCCAATGCAGAAATGATAAATGTTTAAGGAGAGGGAAATGGATGGTAATTACCAAGACCTGATCATTGTACATTGTATACATTGTCAAATTATCACATTGCACTCTATAAATATACACAATTATTGTGTCAATTACAAGTGTATTGCACTAAAAAATGACTGTCCATGAAAATCTTAAAACTAATGTTGGGAGTGGGGATTTTGCTCAGCAGGCATCATAAGAGCCTGCTTGGCAAGCACAAGGTCATGAGTTCGATCCCTGGTTCCACAAAAAAAAAAAAAAAAAATTCCATACATATATCATATTGGCTGGGGATTTAGCTCAGTGGCCCCAGCACCTGCTTGTTAATCACAAGGTCGTGACTTTGAATCCCTGGTACAAACAAAAACAAAAACTAATATCCATGTTTGTAGACTGTGTGCTCTACCAGGAGCATATCCCTTTGAGAAATACAATAGCAGCAGCAATGATATGTGGAAACACAACAGCTTGTTGTTGAGTTTTAAAAAATGGTTTTGTTGAGGTATGCATACATCATAAAGTTCACTAATTTTTTTGTATACAGTTCAGTAGTTCTTGGTTTGAGAATTGTCTAGCCATCACTATGATTGTTTTAGGTAATTTTCGTCATTCTTGAAAGTAGACCTGTGCCTATTCCCTTCAATTCCCCAGTTGTATGCAGTTGACCTATTTTTGCTTGATTTGCCCATCCTGGGCATATTTTCTGTGGTTTTTTTCACTTAGCACAATACTTTAAGGCTCATCCTTGCCATAGCATATGTCAAGCCTATGGGCTGGTAGAAACTGGTGGGCAAGCAATGCCAGTTGTGACCAGGGCCCATGATGAGTCTATTGCCCTCATTAAATCATGATAAGACCTACTCTATGGAGAGTCCGTAGAAGTGTCCTGAACTTGTTTCCAAGAATAATCTTGAGAAGCAGTGTGAACCACAGGTGCGCCAAGGAGAAAAAAGTCAGTGTCCCTTATGAGCCTACCAGCACGAGGGCTGAAAATCAAATATTGTCGTTGCTGCCCCCCCTCAACAACCAGATAATTTCGAGGTCAGCCTGAGTTGATAGCAACTAAGGTACATAAAACAACTAAATGATTGTACTGTTTAATTGATTATGTGGACCTGGGGCCAGAGGTCTGAGCATCTCTTGGGAGGTTGACAATATGCAATATAGCAATTATGGGGGATTCCCTTCTGTCTTATCTTTGAAGTCCAATATTGTTTTTACTGTTTTGCTTTGTTCTGATTAATTGTTTTGCCCTATTCAATATTCTGTTTTGATTGGTTTTGTAGTGTTCTGGTTTTGGTTTGATTTTGCTATACCTGATGGAATGGACAATGTGAAGATAATGAGATATACTATGGTACCTATTACTGTTATCCTGGTATCCTGCTCTGAAGTTCTGTACCAGTTTCACTGAATTGTCTTGATTGGCTTTCTTCTGTCTTATTTTGTTGTATTTTTCTATCTTTGAAATCTTTAAAATTAAAAAAAGAATAGTCTTGAAAATCAAACAAGGTACTCTTGCAGTACCCAGCTAGCTCAGTTAGTAGAACATGCGACTCTTGCAAGGTAAAGGCCATGAGCTCCTCTGGCACACATGGGTCTGAAATACTTCTGTCCCATTTGAACTTCTTAGATTTCAGTAATACTTTGTCAAAATGAAACAACTGCTAATTTTTGGACTGATACGTTGAGTTAAATTTACTTATTCTTCTCCCCACTTTTTTGTTCTCTCCAAGGCTATGCCTTTCTGCTATTCCAAGAGGAAAGTTCAGTACAAGCTTTGATAGATGCCTGCCTAGAAGAAGACGGGAAACTGTACTTGTGTGTTTCAAGCCCAACCATCAAGGATAAACCGGTAAGTCATATGTAGCCACCTGGTGCTTTTCCAGAGTGCACATGTAATTGGGATAGCTGATCTCCTCCTAATTGTGGAAATGCTGGTAACTAGGATCCTCTTACCTGGGTTGACCTTGCTGTGCACCAGAGCCGCACTGTTGTTGACAACAGAAAGCTAATAAAGAATAACTTAGTGTTTTGTGTTATATTTTTAGGATTACATGTAAACTAATGTGGCCTTGTCAATTACTTTACAATTCTGATGAGCTAATTCCTATTGAGAAACTCCAGATTGAGGTAAATAATGCTCTTAGTAGTTTGTCAGATTAAGGACAGGAATAATATCCTTTAAAAATTGTAATTGTTAACGTCTCTTTTCCTTTTAATGTACAGTTTTGGTGTTGGTGATCTAAACAGAGCTCATGCTCTAAAGTAGGTAGTTTCTACAAAGCAGGACAGGGGACAGCCTGAGAATATGTAGCTGAACTCAAAAATGCACTTAATCAGAGTATGAGCCAGAAAATAAATCACTGGGTGAATAAGATATCAGTAGAGAAGACCGTGTACAAAGCAGAAAAAAGAATTTGGTTAACATGACAGCAGAAGGGGTCCATGGGAATTTTGCAGAGATGGAAGTGGAATGGGATGGCTTCATGCATCAAGGCTGGATGCTAGGAGCGGAAAATGGAGTAAAATAATAATGTAGAGTGGGCAAGAAACTGAAGCTGTGTTTCACAGGGTTGAAGTTTGTCAACCCCATAAACTTGCTTTAAATGTATGGGACTCACTTGACAGCTAGGTGTATTACAGAAATGTGTCTGGGACTGCTGGGTGTGGTGGTGCACACCTTGTAATCTCAGGATTTGGGAAACTGAGTCAAGAGCATTGCTGTGAGTTTGAGGCCAGCCTGGGCTACATAGTGAGTTCAAGGCCAGTCTAAGACCCTGTCTCAAACAACAAGTGTTTGAGGAAGGAGTTGATGTTAGACATAGAATTCCCAATTTGAGTCTGGACTCTTATTTATGTATCATCTTGGCTCTGAATAAGTCATCTGATCCTTGCTGAATTGTAATTCCCTCAGCTAGAAAATGGGAAGAATAAGTACTCTCCTCTGTCTTTTCAAATAAGAGGAAAATGAGTGTGAAAGCATTTTATAGAGGTCAGGTACTTGTGCAAGGATGGCTCGTGGATATAATTAGTCTACATACTGCCATAGTATTCAGGAGAGTAAGGTTAGAGCTCAGCACACAGTGATATCCATTGACCAGAACAGGGTTTGCAACTGGTTATGAACTATGATGTGGCACTGGAGCACCTATTTTTTTTTTTTTTTGTCTTTTTCGTTTTTATCGGTACCAGGGATCGAACTCACGACTGCCTGCTTGCAAGGCAGGCGCTTTATGCCACTGAGCTAAATCCCCAGCCCAACTGGAGCACCTATTAAGGAAGAAAATCCAGTGTGTGAAGCCAAAAAAGAAATTATTAAAGAATAGGAGTATGGAGTCATGCAGAGTAATTAATGCAGAAAAAGACACAAAGATTTTAGCCAGTGTGAAAGTGCCACTGTAATTTTCAAATAGGGGGGCTAGTGCCATATTTGATAACAGTAATGGTAGTGTTGAGTAAGTAGCTATATAGGTGAGGGAACAGTAGGTTACAAAAAGAGTAGGGAACTCTTGCTAACTTTGGCCTTTATTTAATCAGTGTGGAGGGCTTGTGTATCATAAGGGAGACATGAGGACTGATAGACTGGAGGTGTGAAGTACGTTAGATGAATAAATAATGAGGCTGAAATAACTTCTTTAAATTCCTTTGGAGTACTCTTTGGAGTAGTGTAAGATTAAAAGTATACCAAGCTGGGCACAGTGACAGACATCTGTTACCCCAAAACAATTTTGAGTACTGCATGGGAAATTGAGTAAGACTCTTTGACTCAGAAATAAGAAATAAAAAAAGGTTCTGGATATGTGGCTCAGTGTGAAGGTCCTGCATACTGGGAGTAAAAAAAAAGTCTGTACCAAATTTGTCAGATATCTTAGAGCAGCAGAGGCAAATTTACAGCACGTGTGCCCCAGGGGGTTGTTTGTATCACCGGAAGCTCTAAAAGGCTCGCCATCACTGTCTTAGAGATAAATGGTCAACCTGTAGAGAGCCTCTGCCATTGGCACATCAGAGCACAACACAAAGAGGTGAAGTGGACTCGCACTCTGGAGAGGACCGTAAAAACACATAGACAGATAGCCCATAGTAAGGAGGAAGTTGTCGGACTGAGGTGAGACTGAAAGTGAGCAGACGGGGTGTACACTGGAAGGGACATGCCGCTGTCTCTGTAGAGGAGTCAGGCTCTTACCAGGATGGGTGAGTGCTGAGCAGGGAGCAAGCTATGATGGCTGCAGACATTATGGCATGGAGGCAGTGTCTTTGCTGTGGAGTGTCTTCACTCCAGACACATCTATTACCTTTGCCTTAAAGAACTTTTAAAAATAATATAATTTTTTTGTTTTAGAAATGTTTATGGGAGTAATTTTCATTGTTTGTGTTTCTACAAATGTTTGCTTCTTTGTAATTTACGTTTTCTGAGCTCGAGTGAAACAGTTTCATTGGAGCATGAAGCATTCTGAACAATAGCTTTCAGTCATACATTTCTTGGACCCAGACATACCCAGCATTTCCAGCATAAGTAGAGTAATTTTAATAAAACTTAGGCTAGGAAATATAAAAATCCCCCAACATCTGTAGTTTTAATGAACTGGATCCCATTTGTAGCTCCAGCCTACTGGGTTCCAGTTTTTAAATCTTTCCTTGCTTTACCTCTACATCCATGATGCCCCACCTCATTTGATCACAGAAAGTAAGAACTGGATCAAACTCCAGGGGTAAATGAGGACTTGGGAAATACTGTTTCAACGCAGATACACCTCTGGACTTGATCACCAAGTGTTTCAAGTTATAGCTCGTCCTTGCCCCTGCTGTTTAATTTAGCTAATCTTCATTCTCTGCCTTTCAGTATTGTAGTCCCCTCATTCTGTTGAGTGGTTCTTTCTGACCCTTCGTGAGTTTCTCCTTGGAAACACCATGTTCCAAAATGACCTTAAAAATTTTCTCTCCTTTGTCCTTCTTGCTTCCCTTCAAAAATCAAACTCCTATTTCCCTTTAGTAGATCAAGTTGATCAGTTTGTTTTCCTAATACAGAGTCAGATAACAAAGTCTTTTCTAAACTACCTTGTCTAGGATCATATTTGCTTTTCAACACAAGTGAATGAGTGTTACTAAAAGGAACTTAATGGATGTTAATAATATTAGGGAGATATTTTTCGTCAGTGATTATTTTTCATTAGATTGAATTATTCTAAGTGTAGGTCTGGTTGTGAAAGTTGGCAGAAATCAGGCTATTTATAGCCTGATTAATTGACTCCTTAGTCCCAAAGAATGGGAAGATAAATCGGCAAAAATAGGAACTGTTGCTGTTTTTGTTGTTGTTAAGAACAGGAACTATAGCAGAGCTTGTAGGTATCCTTTTTCTTTCCTCCAGTGAGAGGATGTCCATAGCTCGGGTGTCCCAGGCATTACAGAAAGTGGCTTTGTTTCTGTGCTTCCAGTGAAGCAAGCAGAGGTTGTGCACAGTGTCTCTCTTGTCAAAGTGAGTCTACTCTGTGAGCATAGAAATAGATTGAACCTGAAGGGAAGACAGCAAGCTGAGAGAGCAGGGCATTTGTGAGGGGCTAGCAGAGATCAGAGCTGAAAAAGAGAGAACTTGAAAACAAACTCGAATTAATGATTCTTACCTGCTAGAATGCTTTACCAGAGATGTGGGTAGCAAAACCCTTAAAAGGAGTATCAGAGAAGGTTTTTGCTTCCTCTTCATAATTTTTAGTATAGTCACGATTTCTATGTACCTTGAAATGTGATAGCTTGGTTTTACCATATATTTAAAACCCATATTATATAACTGAAGTGTGTTTTTGTAGGTTAGTTCTTTAGGTTATTGCTTAAGAGACATGATTATTCACATAAAACTTGAAAAGTAGAATTGAAAAGAATGGTGGATGCAAGGAAGATGGAAATAGAGGTTGATTAATTTTTCATGTCCTTTAATTCTGATCTTTGGCACTTTTAATCACTCCTCCTTGGTTATGAAAGTATTCTAGATCCTTTTGCCTGGTTGTCTAGCTTCAAATTTTTTTTCTACTCTTTTTTTTTTTCCATTTTCCGTCTGAACCTTGTATTCTAATAAAACTGAAATATTACTGCTCCCATCTCAAAATTTAATTTCTACTCTTATTTCAAGACCCCTTTAAATACCATCTGTTTGGTTAACCCCTCATTGATTACTACACTCCATGATACTTATTATAACAGCTGTCTTTAACCTCACATAAAGCCATTTTTTAAAAAAAATGTGCCTTCCTACTGAGTGTGATGGTGCATACCTGTAATCTCAGTACTCAAGAGGCTGAGGCAAAAGATTGCTGCAAATTCAAGGCTGGCCTGTGATATATAGTGAGTTCAAGGCCAGCCTGAGCTACGTAGTGAGACCATGTTTCAAAAAAACAAAAAATAAAGTACTAGTTACTATGAATCATAATTTACTATAAAGTGATATAAAAATCTGTGTGGGGGCTGGGGATTTAGCTCAGCCGCATAAGCACCTGCCTTGCAAGCAGGTGATCATGAGTTCAATCCCTGGTACCGATAAAAAGAAAAAAAAAGGGAAATCTGTGTGAAACAAGCTAATAGTGTAGTGGATGGGTGAAGGGAGTATGTAAATATGCAAAGTATCTACAAAGCCTGGCTCATAAATAGCTCTCAGATATTTGTTAAAGAAAATGGACTGCGACCTGCAACCCCAGGACTTGGGAAGCTGAGGGGAGAGGATTTCGAGACCCAGGCTAGCCGGGTATATGCAGATTCAAGAATGGCCACCACCATATAAAAGGGTCTGAAAAAGAGTCAAATTGTGCACTTCAAAGGTTAAAATATGCCTAGGGTTATTGAAGAAAACTTCCCAAGTGGGCGCGG